TGCGGAGCGCGCGTTCCTGTTTGCCCCTTTCTCGTGCGTTAAGAGCGAGTCAGTCAGTTCGCCTGGATTTAATCCTCTCCGTAGTGGTACAGACCCCTAATGGGGCGTTTCATCTTCAGGTCCTTCTCTGTCAATGAGCTGTTCGCTATAACCGCGATGAATGCACTAGTGAGCCTATGTGGAAAATTTGTTTTATATTATTGAGTATTCGGGTATGGGCCTGCACACAGATAATTTCTCTCTCATAACATGTCCTGTGGGATGACAGAATGACATCATCTGTGTCCACAGGCTGGGGGCCTAGGCACCGGTGGTGAAAGCCCAGCTGGGGAAGGGTGGGCAGGCCAGCAACACTCTGCTCTTGGGGCCAAGCCCCACCCATTCCCCGCCTGCCGCCTTTCGAAGATCCTGTAGTAGTCTGATTTTGAAAGCAGGTTACTACAATGTGCCTGAGTGCAGATACATCCAAGTGGGAATACAATATAAAATTTGTTCTTGCTAAATTCCTGACTGAAAAGAAGTTCTTCAGAGTTTTCAGGAGTTGCTGTGAAGATAATTGTCTAGGGTTATTTGCCATCTAGGAAAATCTTCAGGACCTGATCATTCCCATATTTGTGTCATTCAGTAGAACAAAAACTGTCTTTTGGCAACAAAACAGTGATAGTGTACACACTGCAACATGACTTTTGTTGTGAAAGATATCCAGTTGCAGCAACTAAAAATTTCCACCTCCATAAGGGACTTTTCTCCTCCCTTTACTGCTGACAATAAGGATGTTAGATATTGTTTAATTGAGTAATTGTGGAATCACACCAAAACTTATCAATTACACGATTATTGATGGTTCTGGGGATGGAGCTGGCAGGCAGTGCACTGTACAAGCATTCCCAGCTCCACTCCTGGGAAGGCCCCTTGGACCCTGAACTGTTGCCTCTGGCTTGTTTCATTGAAATTTGTCTCAATCAATAAAGGCAAATATTTGTAATGGTACAATGATTTTATTTTCTGTTCCATAACCTATAGCAATGACTTCAGTCCCAGGTATATGCTGTTCTAGCATTTTCTTGCATCCATTTGTGTTACATGGGATGTTAAATGGCATGCACCAGGGAAGCAACTACAAAAGAGGTAGATTTCAGTGTCCGTCATTGTCAAAGTGCTTCGTTAAAGCCTCCCTGATGTTAATAGCAGCCCTCTAGGCTCTTACAGCCCTAGTGTCAGGCTGCTCAAATTGCAATAAGGCACTGTGCCTCAATGCTCCAACCCTGAGCAAACATTTCACCTTTAGATTCATAGAGATTATGCAAAGTGCAGCATGCAACTATGAACATGGGAATGATCTCCTCCATAAGATGTAGCCTTCCATAGAGACACTTTCATCTCCCGTATAATCTGCACATTCCATTTCCATGTGGCACTGGCTCAGCCTATTGTTAAAATGCTTCTTACTGCTATCCAGGTGCCCTGTGTCAGGTTTCATGAGCCATGGCTATAAGGGGTAAGCTGGGTCTCTCAGGGTTAATATGGGCGTTTCCATATCCCCCACTGCAAACATATGATCTAGAAAGAAAGTCCTCACTTGCAGTTTTCTGTACAAGCTGTTGTGCCTGAAGATGTGCATGTCATGCACCTTTCCAGACCATTCCATTTTGATGTCTGTGGAACACTAACAGTGATCCACAAGTGCCTGCAGCACCATCAAGAAATATTCCTTCCTGTCGATGAACTTTGTGGCAAGGTGAGCTGGCACTAAATTGGAATAAATATGCTATCTATTGCCCCCTCCCCCAGTTAGGAAAGCCCATCTCCGCAAAGCCATCCAGTACGTCATGCACATTTCCCAGAGTCACAGTCCTTCATAGCAGAAAGTGATTTATTGCCCTGCACACTTGCAGTAGTGCAGCCCCAATGACAACTTCCCCACTTCAAACTGATTTGCAACAGAATGGTAGCAGTTAGGAGTCACCAGATTCCAGACAGCAATTGCCACACACTTCTCTACCAAGAGAACGGCTCTCATGTGGGTGTCCTTGTGCCACAGTTCGGGGGCCAGCTCAACACGCACCTCCAGAATGCTTTTTTATGCATCCTAAAGTTCTGTAGCCAGTGTTCTTCATCTCATATTAGCATGACAATGTGATTCCACCACTCAGATTTCCTAGCTGATTTCCCTAGCCCAAAAGTGACTGTCTACCCTATAACTGCTCTGTGAACATCAAATGCAATGACAGGTTGCTGCTGTCCATCTCACGCAGAATGTTGGCCATCTGCAAGTCTTCTTCTTCTGTAAGTAACTTCAAGAGTAACTGCTGCAAAGGGTGATGTCCTCGTAACACCAGACAGAACATAGGAGAGAAGTGTAGGATCTATGCTTTCTTACTGCAGATGCTGGAGTGCACAACAAAGAATGGCAGATGGAAAAATGACGTGAAAGGAAGCTGGAAACCCATGGAGGGCTGGGAAACACAGCAGTTTCCTGATGTTTTATATAGCCCCAAGATGTACTGCACTCTGTTCCATGTTCCCACAGTCCCAGCATCAGATGGCATCACCAGGCTCTGTGGGATACATGTCCATAGTGCATTGCTTGTACTTTTAATGAGGGAGCTAAAAATGTGGGCAAGATCTGTTGACAGAGGGAGCAAGAGTGAATAAACTTTAGCAACTTTTTTTTTGGCGAATTCTGCATGTCAACATTAGTTTCGGTGACAAAACTTTGTAATGTAGATACACCCTTAGACTGTGAGTTCCATACTACAGTTTCAACCAATTTGCCAGATATTAAAGCTAGTTATTGCCAGGATCACCTCTGAAGCATTTTTTAAAAATCAACATTACATTAGCAATCACCTGTCATCTGGTATTGAGGCTGATTTAAGCAACAAGTTACATATCACAGTTGTTAGTTCTGAAATTTCACAATTGAGTTTGAAACTTGGATGCATACCATCTGGTCCTAGTGACTTATTACTGTTTAAGTTATCAACTTGGTCCAGAACCTCTAGTGTTGACACCTCAGCCCAAGACAGGTCCTCAGATATAATAATGTAGTGCCTGTACTGAATATTTGAAGAATAAGTTATACAGACACATGCTGATGTGAAAAAAAACAGGTAAGAGAAAGGCAGGCTACATGAGTGGACCAAAGGGAATGGGGAAAAATAAATTGTGACAGCAATGCAGGAAACCCAAGAAAAAATAAACTTGTGCTGTAGAACAGAAACAAATAAATATAGAAAAAAGTTATAAAATTACAATGTCAGAACATAGGAAGCATTAACATTTTTAAAAGATCTTAAAGATGGAAGTGCTTAACTACTTAGCATGTTATTAATTTCTGTGGGTTTTTTATTTTGCTATTTTAACAATTTAAGTAGCACCATGTTATTACATCATTTACCTTAGTTCAGGACAGTAAGTCATAAAAATACCGTTTTAAAAATAAACGCACTTTAGTATTGAAACTACATTGAGAGTGGAGACCAAAGAATGGAGGAGCATGTGGGCAATCAGAACTGCAGATAAGAAAATTGTGATTTGCCATGAGGTTATATGTAGATATGTTGCAGTTACATAAGCTAACAAGGAATTCTTTCAAACACCAAAAACATATAAAAGATTCTGGGATTATGTATGTGTAAAATATTTCATTGAATCAAGTCTCCTCTGATTGCTCAGTACATCTGCATTTCACACTGCACCCTGTGGATGGAGAGGTTGAGATGTACACCTTCCAGCCAGGATCAGCAGCCCTTCTGCTACCTGCACAATATTCTGAGAATCACTGCAGATAGCTCATCCCAGCTGTAGTGACTTTTATCCTCTCTCTGCCTCTCCCTTTTGTGTAGTTTCCTTTTCTGTTACTTTTCCAGGGGCTCACCTTGTTCACTAGGTCCCCAGTTCTGCCTAGCTGCTCCTCTCCTTTCACCAGGTTTATCCTGCCTACACAAGTTCTGCCCATTCTTCCCCTCCCATTCTGATAGCAAAGAGGTACTAGAGTCAGGGCAGTGCCTTCAGGAGATGTTACTGAGCATGGTCAGATGGCTGAAGCATACTCAGAAGCAGGAAGCAGTGTCCTGTCACTTTGCCTGAACACTCTCCTGCAAGCTGCACAGAGTAGCTAGTCCAGAACAAGCCATCGTTCTCACCAGCAGAGGCTCAGAGCATCAGAGCCTCTTGTCTCATGGAATGAGAACTCCTTTCTAGCACAAGGTAAAAGAAACAAAGCAACTGAACAATAATGTGTGGGATTGTATGTGTGCTGGAGAAATGATTTATACACAGGGTCTTTTATATCATTTTAAAGTGAGCTGGTGTGTTGGTTAGCTGAGTCTCTCTAATGCTTTTCCTCACAGAGTAAGTGGATTTACTGGGGTGTTAGCCAGTGAGACAAATTACAACTGTATATTTTATTAGTAATTACCATAATGTCTCAACTCTGTAAGTACCTGTAAGTAAATGTTGGCTGTACTTCAAGGAGCTTATATTCAAAGGGTTAATTGTGCAATTCTTGTGTACCCCAAATTCTGAAGGAGCTTTGTGTGTGCCCAAATAATTCACCATTAAGCCCTAAATGATTAAACTAGTTATGTTCTTCCTAGGATACCCTCTGAATAAAGGCAAACAAGCCTACATTGTTAAGTTCACTGCAGGAAGTACTATTTGTGGATTCTTGTAAGATATTTTTATGAAGAAAAATATTTAGTGATATCTGTGTAACAGAGGGAAATTCTCTTCCCATCTGCCCCACCTGTTCATTTACTCTGAACTGTTCAATAAGGACCAATAGATTTTCTCCTTCTCCTTTCTATTTTTTCTGCAGTTTGCATTATTAGTTGCTAAATATATTGTATTTTCTGACATTGTGGTCTCTACCCTGTGGATTTGAGACAGTTTAGGGTGGATTTCCCCAACTCCTTTGTATATAAGTAATATAATTATGGAAATTGATCACCATGGCAGTGGCATTTTTTGACTGCCTGAAAGTTCAGAAAAGGATTTTTTTTTACTATTTTACAGTCTACTTTTTCTTTTCTGGATGACCATAATGGTATTAAAGTTTGAGAGACTGTATTTAACAAACAGAAACACATATTACATTTGGATTTTTGCAAACTACAAAATGTTCATACTTTCTTCCCTGCCCCATAGATGCTGCAGCCAGTGGGAGTTTTCCAGTGACTGCAAGGGGAGCAGGATCAGAGCCTTAAATCTGCTAAAGGAGGGTGCACTATCATGGAGATTTAATTTTGCAAAAACTTCCCCTCCAGAAACCACATGAAACAACTCTGGGGGAGGAGGAACTTTTGCTACCTTGTTATGACATTCAGGAGAAGGTCACATTCAAGTTAGATTTCAAACTGAGGGAGTTACAATGGTCTTTAACTTATTTATAAAGTGAGTTTGGATAATCTCTGTCTATATAATGTTTCATTCTACCTGGATTTGGTTCACAGGGGAAATACCTGTCTTGTTTGTGGTTATAGAGATAAGGAGTGAAGAGAACGGCTAAAAAGCATGTCAGAGTTCTGGTTAATTTCTGCACCGGGGGATAAAGTAAATCTGCAGGCCTGGGAGAGGATGAACACAGTGACATCCAAAGCCAACCTATCCAGCAACAATAAATTCCTCATCCCAGACCTCAAGGTAAAAGCAGAAAGGGAGGACAGGGTTTTGGTGGCATAAGGAACACAAACAGAAACCTTTCCTTGTCTTTATCGAGTACATATGTTAGGAAATGGAAGAGAATTATGCAGGGAGTCCAGTGAAAATGGATTTGAGATGGAAAATCAGGAGGGGAAAAAAAGAATGAGCTTCTGAAGTTGCCTGGACACGTTATACTTTATTGAAAGGATATCTGCATGGAGTGATGCATGCCAGGGATGTCCAGCCAATTCAACATGCTTGTTGATCTCTGTTGCACTCTGCTCACTATTTACTCATGCCCTTTGAGGTAGTATACCATTATACACAATAGGCTCACTAACATAATGGGAATAATTAGATATATGTATATCCAGCAGTGTCCTAATGAGAAACTTGATGAAGATGAAATAGACTGTTATACACCAAGTGTGCACATTCAGACATGATGATGGACTTAATTTCTTATAGATAGATAAATAATTACTTTTCAAATTTCAGGCCATTATTTATGATTATTTTTAAATCTCTGAGTCTTATTTTGATCCCAATTACAGCCACTCCAGTCATTCCATTAAAGTCAATGGGATTACATTAGATTTAGGAACAGATTTTTTGAGGGAGCAACCCAAGTTGATAGTGTGCAGCATTTTGAAGAAGAAGCTCAGAACTTCTAAGAATCTGACCCTAAATCCAAAGGTCCCACTAACTATCTATACAAATTGAATTATTCCAGATTTCTAGTGATATAGTGGCCTTCTGGCGGTTAAAACACCAAAATGAAAAAGTTTATGCAAAGCAGGACTTTCAGACTGGCGCCAGCTTTCCCACATCTTTGAGCCACATCTTCACCTGGTGTAAATTAGCATAGCTTCCTAGACTTTAAAATAAATAAATTGATATAAATTAATAGATCTCCTTTGAAGCCAGGGGAACATGCTGATTTACATCAACTGAAGATGTAACCCTATTACTTTTATTACCATATTTTTGCTAATTACAATGTGTAGAATTTACTTCCACTAAACCCTTCTTCTCTCTTGGTATAACCCTGAAGTGGAGAACATCATGATGAATTGGCAACATTATAATAATAGATTCAGCAACAGACTGATGTAATAAACATAAGATTATGACAGTAGTACAAGATCATACAAAAAGGAGAAGCGTGGCTTGGAGAAAGATACAGTCTTCAATAATAGCAAAGAACATAGGCAAACTTTGCTCAAAAGCATTTTTTTAGTATAAATGCTGTTCCTCCTCCCACACCTCGTTTGTTGCTGTGTGTGTTAGTTTCTTAAATGCTTACAAAAATACAATATTTTATTAGTGAAATGTCAAGTCTATTGTATGTAATGATTCAGAAATCAAAAAAGGAAGGAAGACATCAGGGCATGATCATGAGACTAATAAATGCAATTTTTCCCTTTTATCAGAATAGGCTCTTTAATCCAAAAATCTAAAAAAAAAAAAAAAAAGCCCTTGCTGCTATTTTCCAGTAAGTGAATAAAGTTCTACCAAATTTGCTGATTTTTATAATTGCTAAAGAGAAGTCAAGGCTGATAAAGTTTTGCAAGCATATGCCTCGACAGGCTTTGTGTACATTTAACTTATTTATGGTCTTTCACACAGGTGGGGACATTGGATGCTCTTGTTGGTCTCTCAGATGAGCTGGGAAAACTTGATAGCTTTGCTGAAAGGTAAAATAGATGTTATTTACTACATACAAATGAGAAACAGACATTGTTTTCACAGGACACGGTGTCCTTTTATTCATCTATTCTTGACTTGTCTAAACCTGGTTCTAGAACTCAACTAAAATTGCCAGGTTTGGCTTAACCCTTGTCTAGTCCATAGTGGGTCACTACATATAAGGCAGTGGTTTCCAACCTTTTCAAGCATATGGATCCCTTTTCAATTATTAAAATTTCATGGACACCCTCCCCACTCTCGGTGGACAAAAAAAAGAAAAAGAAAAGTAAGGATTGGGCCCATTGTGGTCATTTTTAAACTTTCCATGGACCCCCGGCAGTACCGTCACAGACTACCAGGGGGACCATGTTCTAAATACCTTAATCAGCAGGTCCACTGAAGTCAGTTTCAGTTTTTCCCAAGTAAGGGCAGCAGGATTGGATCCTTTTGCTGAGTTTGTTTGAAAGGTAATCCTGATTAAGGAGACAGTACGAGGAAGGAAGCTCCTTTGAGAAATATAGGAGGCTTTTAAAAGCAGGCGCTCCCACTGACTGTGGCAAATTTTCAGAGTGAAAATGATCCCACTCTCTCTCTCCCCTTCCACAGAGGATTTCTCAAAAGACTTCATTCCCTTCCCAGTAAGAGGCAGAAGTTTTCAGGGGAAGGTTTATCTAAGCAAGAAGTTTGAGTCCTCCAGAAGCCCACTTCATATTCCTGAATTCCTGCCATGCCAACACTGGGCACAGATGTTGCCATGGGATGCCATTAGCCAGTTATGTGCCATGAAGATTCTGGTGCAGCTGAGGAGGTTGTATCTGCTATTCAGCTTCATAGGCTCATCAATAATCTTGCTAGACTCAGTGTTCTTCCACCGGGCAGCTTGGGAGACATGCCACCTTTCCCATTCTCTGTCTAGCACAGCTCAGGCTGGCTCAGGGCAGACATTGCTTAGACAGCTGGAGCTTGCTCAGACTTGCATGACTGGGGCCAGCTTGGGGCTTCTCAGGCTAGCCTGGGGTTGGGGCTGCACTGGCTGGGACTTTTGCTGCGGAAGCGGGAGAGGGCAGGGTTCCAATGAGCCCAGAGCTTCTCTGGCTACGGGAGGAGGACCGAGGGGGCAGGGCTTGAGGGTCCATCAGGGGGGCGGAGCTTCATGCAGAAGGGGTGGGGGAGGCTAACTTCCCTGAAAGTGGTGTCCACCCACTGCCCATGGTGCACAAGCAATTGCACTTCTGGCTGCTTCCCTGGTTTCATAGCAAAACAGAACTATTCAATCCTTAGTTCAATGGTCAATCCTCACCCTTCATTCCCATGGTGGCAGAGGAAATCAGATTCCCGCCCCCCTTCCCATCTTTGTTAACCTAGTCATGGTAGTGAATATTCACAGGAGTGTGGGGTGAAGAGTGGGCAAGACCGGGAGAAGATGGTTTTCACTTAATCATCACCAGGTGTAACAATAAAGACAAGGGTTCCTCTTACCCAAGTGATCCAATAGCCAAGCTACTGTACTGTTTGGGTCTAGTTGTTTGTCAGAAGCACTTACCTCCGCATTTTCAGAGGTGTGGCATGAGTATGCTGGTTCTAGTCAACTACGAGTGTTCAGTACTTGTTAAAAGTCATGCCCTTGGAGCTTGGGCTATACACTGAATTATTTCCATGTGTATAGATATACAAGATGTCTTCATCCCTCCCCCAGCCCTTTCCTGTGTTTGTCATCTGTTTTTGTTTTCCTTATCTTAACTTAGCACCAGATGCTGATCCCTTATTGAGTAGCACCTGACTCCACAAAGGGTCCCGTTGGCTTCAGTAGTCCCACTGGTGCAGTAAGATGGTATCAATGAGCAAAGGGATCAGAATCAGACTTTTACATCATAAGATCTTTGGGGCTGGCCTCAGCATATTTGTTTTGTAAAGCTCTTGCTTATAAGCACTGCTAAGTAATACTCAGGAATTAAACTGGTTTAAATATGAGACAAGTATGTGCAATGGCAAGCAAGGGATGAGCAGAGAAAAATCATATGATACAAATGTGCGAAAACCTTAGCACAGGGAAATGCATTTTAATAAACATGTGTTGTACACTATATAAAGAGTCTAGTAGGTTTTTGAGACTAGACTGTGTAATCCAAGGGTTAATGTACCAAGTACACATGCCTCATTAGCTGCAAACAATATATACCTGGTTATTAGTGACAGGCTAAGCAAATGAACTAGATTTTTAAATTCCTGC